AAAGAACTAAGTTTACCAAGAGAGATTATGTAAAGGTGCAAATTTCCAATGATGAATGTCATTATATTATATACCTAAAATGTACCAATAAAATTTATTTTAAAAAATTAAGTAGCACATATCATAACATCAAAAGCCTAAACAGGTGGAGGCAGAACTGCTAGAAGCAGATGTGTTTTCTTAGTAAAAGAGATTTACTATCATTCCAAGATCTGGAAATGCTGCCTTTGCAGTTTCAAGCCACTCCTATTTCAGCTTAACACTGGAAATTCTGTAAAAATGTAAAATTCTGTATAAGTCTGCTCATTCCTAAAAACACTACCTTTAGTCCTAAAATCTGCTCTAGCTCCCCTCTTCTTTTTCCTAATCACACCTCTTGAAAAAGCTGTTTCTATTTATGGCCTCAATGTCCTTATCAATCATCATAATGGGATTTCTATCCCTATCAATCCCAGTTGTCAAGTATAATGATGGATAGCTATTTAATCATTCCTGCATTATCTTCTACTTACCATTTAAACATCAGAACCACCTGAAACTCTTGCCATCTGGAGCTTCTACCTCAACAGTAAGGATACTGCAGGTGCAGTCATTGGGCCAGAACACCTTTAGTTCTTGATCTCTTGGCTGTGTCTGGGTCCTCTTGTCTCCCTGGGTTTTCAGCCAATCTCATGGGTAGGGGTTGAGGGGAATGGTTACACTGAAGGGCTGCTCTGGTACTCAGGAAATTGGGGGACAGGTCCTGGTGATGGAGGTGAATGTAATTCCTACCTTCAAGGATGGAGTGTAGAATGGATCCCCAATCCGACAAAATGTTTAGTTCCTTTACCCCACAGGAAGGGTCCAATCCATGACTTTTGCTTCCTATTACAAAACATTCCCTTCCAGAATCTTTTGCTGGCTAGTTTCTTCCAGTCCTTTCTCCACTGGAACCTTCCTCTGGCACTCATACTTTACTTGTCCTATTACTGCACATATTTATCTTTTTTCACACATGTAACTGCCAACTTTATCTTGATGACTCCCACTGTCTCTAGTGCTGACCTTTCTTACAACCTCCAAAACCATCTATATAATTAATTCTACTGGATCTCTCCATCTGACATTGCTAAAATTCAACACACCTACACCTCCAAACAGTTTGTCACCAAAGTGTGTTCTCTTTCCACCTCCCTCAGGAATGGTATCATCCCATTCAAACCAGAGTTCCTTCTCAACCAAACTGTCAATTCTAATCTCCAACTATTCTAGTACCACCACTGCCCTGGTTCTGACACAGGTTCTCAGCAGTTTTGTTTTTAGTATGGGGGATTGAACCCAGGAACTCAGGGCTTTTGCACTGAGATATATCTCTGGCCTTTTTTTTTGAGACAAGGTCTCACTATGTAGTTCAGGCTGGCCTTGAACTTGTGGCAATCCTCCTGCCTCAGCCTCCTGAGTGCTTAGGTACCTGAGAGATTAGTT